TTTCACAAAAATCATTCTGAACCTAACAAAAAAAAAATATATCATTGTGTTTGTTTATTATTAAATTATTGTAAACGAGTCGGTTTGGAGTTTTATGACTCTCTGACCATGGGTTCTATCCCCGCACATGGCATGGTTTATCCAAAATATATTTTGTTGGATTGGGCTAAATTAAATTGTGCTTGTTATAATAAGGTTAGGTAAGTTTTCTAAGGTTCTTTTGGTACAAAATTATTACTTTTTACATTAACATAAATGAAAAAAATCTTTAAATGTATAAGAGAAAATTTTAGAAAGGACTTAATTTTAAATGAGTTCTTGCTAATTGACCAGTTTTACCTATTCAGCACAACATACATACAGTAGGGTCCCGCTTTACAGCATTTTGCCTTACAGTGTTCCGCTAATGCGGCGATTTCAAATTATGACCAAAACTTGCTTTACGGCTCCCCATCTTTCTAATACGGTGCACCCCACCCGGTTTGTTTACATTCTCTGTGAGCACATCTCTCTATTATGTCTGGAAACTTTCCAAAATTTCAAGTGTTTAAAGTTATTGCATATTTTATGTGTTCTCTGATAATTATACTTACATGTACCTGTACCTAAATATACTTATACACTGTGCTGGCGTGCAGGTACACACTAAAATCATTAGTCTCTCTATTCTTGACGCCATATAATAATCTCTTGGGCGCATTAAATGTCTTATATATTATGTTAATATAAACATTTCCATTAATCCATCTATGATATTTTTTCAAAATTATACACCTACCATCCGACTTACGACCTGCTCGACATACGACCACTCGACTTACGACCGTGATTTTTATGCCAAATTTCTGGGAAATAAACAACTGTTTGTGTTGTACAGTGTTTATCCTAAACCTTACAGTATAAAATACAGTACTAACAGCATAAAAAGTAAAGCAAAAGATGAAATACCAAAATAAAACAACAAAATAAAGTCATTACAAAAATGTGATGTTGATATTCTGTAGTAAAGTTCGACTTACGTCCATTTTGACTTACGATCCGTGGGTCGGAACCAAGCTCGGTCATAAGTCAGATGGTAGGTGTATAATAAATACTCTATGTAACATATCAACATGATACATACACCCACAGTGTAAAAATTGACATAAATATGAGATGTGTTTACCAAGCAGGTTGTAGGAGTGTCAAAAGAATTACATTTTCTCTAGTCAAACACCATTACTGGGGGATAACTGTAGAAAAATATTCCTTTCGTATGCCTTCACTCTATCTATAGCTATTCATGACCCTTGTGGGCTTAGCGTTTCTTCTTTATTATGATTATCATAGTAATAATAATAATAATAACAATCGTGTATAGGGCAAGGATGAATAACATCTTGTAGGAGTGAGGAAAAGCCAGTTGTGAGTGTGGGGGAAGTTCGTGAGGCAGTAGGTAAAATGAAAGGGGGTAAGGCAGCTGGGATTGATGGGATAAAGATAGAAATGTTAAAAGCAGGTGGGGATATAGTTTTGGAGTGGTTGGTGCAATTATTTAATAAATGTATAGAAGAGGGTAAGGTACCTAGGGATTGGCAGAGAGCATGCATAGTTCCTTTGTATAAAGGCAAAGGGGACAAAAGAGAGTGCAAAAATTATAGGGGGATAAGTCTGTTGAGTATACCTGGTAAAGTGTATGGTAGAGTTATTATTGAAAGAATTAAGAGTAAGACGGAGAATAGGATAGCAGATGAACAAGGTGGCTTTAGGAAAGGTAGGGGGTGTGTGGACCAGGTGTTTACAGTGAAACATATAAGTGAACAGTATTTAGATAAGGCTAAAGAGGTTTTTGTGGCATTTATGGATTTGGAAAAGGCATATGACAGGGTGGATAGGGGGCAATGTGGCAGATGTTGCAGGTGTATGGTGTAGGAGGTAGGTAACTGAAAGCAGTGAAGAGTTTTTACGATGATAGTGAGGCTCAAGTTAGAGTATGTAGGAAAGAGGGAGATTATTTCCCAGTAAAAGTAGGCCTTAGACAAGGATGTGTGATGTCACCGTGGTTGTTTAATATATTTATAGATGGGGTTGTAAGAGAAGTAAATGTGGTGGTCTTGGCAAGAGGCATGGAGTTAAAAGATAAAGAATCACACATAAAGTGGGAGTTGTCACAGTTGCTCTTTGCTGATGACACTGCTCTTGGGAGATTCTGAAGAGAAGTTGCAGAGGTTGGTGGATGAATTTGGTAGGGTATTCAAAAGAAGAAAATTAAAAGTGAATACAGAAAAGAGTAAGGTTATGAGGATAACAAAAAGATTAGGTGATGAAAGATTGGATATCAGATTGGAGGGAGAGAGTATAGAGGAGGTGAATGTATTCAGATATTTGGGAGTGGACGTGTCAGCGGATGGGTCTATGAAAGATGAGGTGAATCATAGAATTGATGAGGGGAAAAGGGTGAGCGGTGCACTTAGGAGTCTGTGGAGACAAAGAACTTTGTCCTTGGAGGCAAAGAGGGGAATGCATGAGAGTATAGTTTTACCAACGCTCTTATATGGGTGTGAAGCATGGGTGATGAATGTTGCAGCGAGGAGAAGGCTGGAGGCAGTGGAGATGTCATGTCTGAGGGAAATGTGTGGTGTGAATATAATGCAGAGAATTCGTAGTTTGGAAGTTAGGAGGAGGTGCGGGATTGCCAAAACTGTTGTCCAGAGGGCTGAGGAAGGGTTGTTGAGGTGGTTCGGACATGTAGAGAGAATGTAGCGAAACAGAATGACTTCAAGAGTATATGAGTCTGTAGTGGAAGGAAGGCGGGGTAGGGGTCGGCTGAGGAAAGGTTGGAGGGAGGGGGTAAAGGAGGTTTTGTGTACGAGGGGCTTGGACTTCCAGTGGGCATGCCTGAGCGTGTTTGATAGGAGTGAATGGAGACAAATGGTTTTTAATACTTGACGTGCTGTTGGAGTGTGAGCAAAGTAACATTTATGAAGGGATTCAGGGAAACTGGCAGGCCGGACTTGAGTCCTGGAGATGGGAAGTACAGTGCCTGCACTCTGAAGGAGGGGTGTTAATGTTGCAGTTTAAAAACTATAGTGTAAAGCACCCTTCTGGCAAGACAGTGATGGAGTGAATGATGGTGAAAGTTTTTTTTTTTCGGGCCACCCTGCCTTGGTGGAAATTGGCCAGTGTGTTAATAAAAAAAAAAAAAATAATAATACTGATATCATAATTCACTCTAAAAATAATGTGTTGCGTGAGAATGAGAGTGTTGCTGTTTATTTATTCTACTGTACCACCATGGAAACAACTTGTTCACAATGTAAGGTGTTTGTATGAATGTGTATGAACCATAACCAGACGCGTTCATCCGTTTGTTTACATAGTACTCTGCGTGGGTGGGGTGACCAGGCAGGCTACCATACCTCCCACACCTGAGTTTCTACAAATAAATACTTTTCACCTCTCACCCTGCATTAAGATCATTAAGATTACAAATATTTTAAGGCAAGTAATGAGTGTATTGTATATGCATTTTATCACTCTAGGGCACGTTAAACATTGTAGTATATTATGTGTGGGTGGGGTGGCCAGGAGGGCTACCATACCTACCACACCTGACTTCTTACAATAAATACTACTCACCTTTTTCCCTACATTAACCCTTTGACTGTCGCAACCCCCAATCCTGAGGTGTCTCCTGGTGTCGCAAAATTTAAAAAAAAAAAATATTTTTTCTTATGAAATGATAGAGAATCTTTTCCCGATTGTAAAGACACCAAAAAAACGAAATTTGATGGAAAACTGACGGAATTACGCTCTCGCGAAGTTAGCGACCTCGGCGATATTTACAAATCGGCGATTTCGCCCACTTTGAGCCCTATTTTCGGCTAATTCCATTATTCCAGTCAACCAAACTCATAGCTATTTCTTCAGAACTCCATTTTTTCCATCGATTGAATACAAGAAACTGTCCATTTACCGATTTCAACTACCCAATAACATGGTCAGAAATTTGCAATTTGGCCAATTTCACGAAAATTAAAAAATATGACAATTTCAAAATAAGGACCAGAATGAACAATGCAGACATTCCTGGCTCTAAAATAACATTTTCTTTGTTCATCAGTCATGTCTCCAGGCTCCTGTGATATTACTCTTGCTTTTTATTTTGAAATTTTATTCAAACAAAAAATAGAAGATTTACTGTTATGCAGACTACTGCAATACTGTAATAATTGTAAAAATTACATAAACCAATTCATGACTGCATATTAGAATGGCTATTTGGACATTTATTGGACAATGACATCATTTGTTTACTTTTGAACATCGGCAAAAATCAAACATTTCCCATACTTTGTGCTCCATTTCCAGGTTCTTTTTATAGTAAAATTAATCAAAATCACCTCTATTTCTATAATATAGTTTCCATTCTATCAAATGAGACCAAGAAAACGAGAATACAACCACAAATACTATACGAAAATAGACCACAAAGTCGGAATTTTAATTAAAAAAAATTATCGGAGTTTTTTTTTCTCATTATGCACTGCGTGCTCCAGGATTTTTTTTATATGGTGCACACTAACCACACAGACCCATTCTCTCACATGTGGGCCTACCAGCTTTCTCCTGCCTGATTTGAAGCCGCTAGAATTTATGAGTATATATATACGTCAAACACGGTACCTCGTAAACGTATATATACGGCTGCGACAGTCAAAGGGTTAAGACTACGAATGTTTTGAGGTAAATAATGAGTGTACTGTGTGTGTATTTTACTTTTATTGCTTTTTAATGCCAAGTTCTATTGCTAACTTAATATATGTTAGTGTAAATTTGTTATCTGGCATTTATATGCATTTATAAGTGGAAAAAATAGCATTCTGCTTTCTGGCGATGTCAGCTTTCCGGCGGTAGCCTGGAACCTAATCTGCTGTATAAGTGGAGTCCTACTGTATATATTGCTTAATATATAAAGCATTATATATATTTAAAATATCATGATACTATAAACAACAGACTCCAATTGCTAAAATATTTATTATAATCTCTTTTTTATCCACAGGAGATAATACACAAGAGTAGTGAGAATACTGACACTCATGAGAAACAATTATTGTATCTAATATGATGTTATACAATGAAATTTTAAACACTTATTTTGAGATAAAATCAAATCAAATATTTCTTATAATATTGAAGCCTTACTGACCAGAGTCAATCAATAGTGAAATAATATAGCAAAACAAAAAACTATATACAGTGTATGTGAATACTGTACCTCATTGTAAGTACACATATTATGTACCACAGATAAAATTTAGTATACATATTTATTCATAACATAATTCCAACGTAAATATTTTTGGAAATAAATTCTGCGTACTCTGTAATATGATGATACTCAAAAACAATGGAACATACAATCTGAAAAAAATCAATAAAAATATACATATTATATATTTCCAGACTACAATTATATCTCCTTAATCAATATACCTGTACATTATAAACAAAAATAGAATGTGGCACCATTACAGTATAAAGTACAAAAGATTATGTACACAGCTAACTACAGGATATGCTTCACCTGTTTAGTGTTTTCCTCACAACAAAATCTAAACAAAGCTGGCAATGTTAATAAGCATTTCCTCTGAGGTATGACTGCAACATACACCATGAATACAGCCACCAGTTTTATACTGCATATTATAAGTTTTTGGAATATGTTATTAGTGTCACTATTCATTGAGAAGTGCTAAGGCCATACAGAAATGTCAAGCCTGTGGAGAAGTGTTAGGCCCATTGAGAAGTTGCAAACTCATAGAAAGAGGTAAACCTTTAGAAATTATACAACACATGGAAGGTTATCAAGTTTGAACAAAAAATAAACAAGGATAGATACAGTTTAAATGAAAGATTTCTGTGGAAGGTTAATGAATGACTTTTAGTAATAATGATTTGTTTGAAGCACTGTGATGTGTCTGAAACACTATAGAAGCTTTATGAATCACGAGTAATAGTAAATATGTCTGAAGCACGCCAATAACACCAGTCTTAAACTCTCATTTCTTTTCACTAAGTTTACCCTGCCTTACTTCCTCCTACTTTCCTTCCCCTACAAACTACTGTTGACTACATATTCTGTTGGAAGGGCTCTAAGCACCAGTATTAACAACCACAGGAGGTACAGCTGTTACAGCTGTACCTACTGTTTATTGAACCTACTACAGAAATCTTATTTTTCATACCTCATAAAATTATACAGTATTTTATGTTCAGAATTCTTGAATCACTAGGAATCGTAATGCCAGCACCTAAAGTGATGGAGGCAGCTGTATACCAGAAAGCAGGAAATTTAAAGTACTGTAGCACTCAAAAAATTACTCTCATCCTGTTTGTAGGGCACTTTGTAGAATTGATATTTAAGCTTTATTGGTTAAGAAGCAAATGCAGAGATCTCTTAAAAGATTAAGATTTTATTTTTTTGCTATGTTTACAATGTGTGATTACAATTTTGATTTGTTAAGTACAAAGAAAGCCACTATTGTGCTGGAGCATTCTGGGCAGTACAGACTCTGAGCATATTCCTTTATCATAAGTAAACAACTGGCTTAAGCTAATTTTACCCCTGATCAGTGGAACAGTCTTGGTTGTTACACATGTTTACACTCACACAAAACTCAGAAGTTAATGAACCAAGTAATCTTGTTTAACCCGTAAATGGTCCAAACGTATATATATGTTTTTTCAACATTTGAAAGTATATGTAAAAAAAGTAGACCTTTTTTTTTTTTGTACATTTGAAAATGTGTAAAAAACTTTGATCTACTTTTTTTTTTTTTTTGTTATATTTGAAAATATGTAAAAAAAACGTAGAACTACTTTTGGAGCGCTATGCATGTGAACGTAGATCTGCTTGGACAGTTTATGGGTCAATATATTGCAGATGTCTGGAACCCAATTTATAAACTAGTGGAGTTCCACCAGTGTCAGGACTTGGAAAGCCTTCTCACCTAGTCATTGTGGCTTAGAAAAAAAACTCTCCTTATGAAACAAGGAGAGTTACAATAAATAACACTTCTCAGTTAATATGTTACAACCAAATTTAAAGCTTTATGTTTAAAGCACCGGATTGTAATTTATTAGTCTGAACATAAAGCTAATTTTTACTTACTATTATGTAAAGCCTAACGTAAAGTTAGAAAAAAATATACAGTACTGGGAAAATGACACCATCATAATAATACAGTAATAATAATAATAATAATAATAATAATATACTTTATACATGTAGTTTTCAACATACTGTTGGTCTCTTGACGAAGTAAGATGATCCAAAATAAGAGGAAACATAGTAACAATTACAGTAATAATGGTAAGAACAGTAAAACTAACAATAATAATAATAATGTAGTAAAGGAGTGCAGCTAATTATAAAAAGTTTTATATTGGATTACATAAAAATTTTACACTGGTGTCAAAATTCAAAATTAGGTTAATAATGGGAGTGATTATATTTAATGCAGTTATAGTGAAGCATAGTGAGCAGCCAAACTAATGTAAGTATACAGAAGCATATTAAAAATCAGTAGACAAATTAATAATAATAATAATAATAAAAATAATAATAATAATAATTTTTTTCTTGGAGCTGTATGGTTAATGTAATTAAATTTATTTGTATAATAGTAGGCACAGAAGACACCAATACCTTCCTTTCTCATAATAAAATCAGAGATAAAAATGAAATGAGCTTATTTCAAGCACATCTTAAAATTGCAACCTTGATTATGATAATTGCAAAATCCGTGAACATCATTAAGCCACAACCAGCAGACTTGTGTATGTATTGACAGACATTGCAAGGGAGTTTCAATAGCATATATGTTTTTTCAACTATGTTTATTTTGTTTCAGCACAAATGTGAACCCAAATTATTGTGTATACCTGAGTACAACCTGACTCCACGTGTAGGTCGACTCCTGGTATTTGTCAAAAACATTCTTAATTTTTTATACATATATGCATACACAAATGCAGTTACATAGATTATCTTACATAACAGCATATGTGTAAAGTACACCTACCATCTGACTTACGACCTGCTCGACATACAGTGGAGCCCCGCATACCGTCGGCATCACATAACGTTCAATCCGCATACCGCTCGCTTTTAGTCGCAAAAATTTTGCCTCGCATACCGCTCAAAAGCCCGCTCACCGCTCTTCGTCCAAGACGCGTCCAATGTGCGCCCTTAGCCAGCCTCACATGTGCCGCCAGTGGCATTGTTTACCAGCCAGCCTCCGCGGTAACATCCAAGCATACAATCGGAACATTTCGTATTATTACAGTGTTTTTGGTGATTTTATCTGCAAAATAAGTGACCATGGGTCCCAAGAAAGCTTCTAGTGCCAACCCTACAGCAATAAGGGTGAGAATTACTATAGAGATGAAGAAAAAGATCATTGATAAGTATGAAAGTGGAGTGCGTGTCTCCGAGCTGGCCAGGTTGTATAATAAACCCCAATCAACCATCGCTACTATTGGTGGTACAGCTACTGCTGCTGCTGTACCACCGTCAGCTGCTGCTGCTGTAGCACCGTCAGCTGCTGCTGCTGTTGTACCACCGTCAGCTGCTGCTGCTGCAGTACCGTCTGCTGCTGCTGTAGCATCGTCTGCTGCTGCTGCTGTAGCACTGTCAGCTGCTGCTGCTGCTGTACCACTGTCAGCTGCTGCTGTAGTACCATCTGCTGCTGCTGTAGCATTGTCTGCTGCTGCTGTAGCACTGTCAGCTGCTGCTGCTGCAGCACTGTCAGCTGCTGCTGCTGCTGTACCACCGTCAGCTGCTGCTGTAGTACCGTCTGCTGCTGCTGTAGCATCGTCTGCTGCTGCTGTAGCACTGTCAGCTGCTGCTGCTGCTGTAGCACTGTCAGCTGCTGCTGCTGCTGCTGTAGCACCGTTGTTGGTGTGGCTTATTGAGAATACCAAGAAACAATTAACCCCAGAGGATTTTCCACCCAGGATAACCCAAAAAAGTGAGTGTCATCGAAGACTGTCTAACTTATTTCCATTGGGGTCCTTAATCTTGTCTCCCAGGATGCAACCCACACCAGTCGACTAACACCCAGGTGAACAGGGAAAAATGCCTGGAACTAGTGCTCATATTGGTGAATTTAAAGCCAGCAAAGGTTGGTTTGAGAGATTTAAGAATCGTAGTGGCATACACAGTGTGATAAGGCCTGTTCTGGAAGAAAATGCCAAACAGGACCTACAGTACTCAGGAGGAAAAGGCGCTCCCAGGACACAGTGTCTCATCAGTCATTGCTGCATCTTCAATAAAGGTAAGTGTCATTTATTCTTCATTTAGTAGAGTAGTACATGCACAATATATATTGTGCATGTACTACTCTACTATTGTGCATGTATCCTTCTCTTTGTGTGTAGGAAAATGTATATTTCATGTGGTAAAAATTTTTTTTTCATACTTTTGGGTGTCTTGCACGGATTAATTTGATTTCCATTATTTCTTATGGGGAAAATTCATTCGCATACCGATCATTTCGCATAACAATGAGCCCTCTTGCACGGATTAAAGTCGCTATGCGGGGGTCCACTGTATAACCATTCGACTTACGACCTTGTTTTCTATGCCAAATTTCTGGGAAATAAACAACTGTTTGTGTTGTACACAGTGTTTATCCTAAACTTTACAGTATAAAATACAGTATTAACAGCATAAAAAGTAAAGTAAAAAATGAAATACCAAAATAAAACAATAAAATAAAGTCATTACAAAAATGTGATGTTGATAATCAGTAGTAAGGTTCGACATACGTCCATTTCGACTTATGACCAGTTTCTCGGAACCAAACTAGGTCGTAAGTCGGATGGTATCTGTACCTGGGATAACCCAAAAAAGTCAGACAGTGTAACTTATCTCCATTGAGGTTAGCAGTAGAACTAGGTATTAAAAACAATAAAAAAGTAAAATACACATATAGTACACTCATTACTTACCTTAAAATATTTGTAGTCTTAATGCAGGGTCAGAGGTGAGTAAACGAGATAAAACAAATAAATGAGAGAGAGAATGAGTACATGAGAAAGGACACTCATGCAGTTATGTAAACAAACCAGGCAAATGTGAGTTATATAAACAAAGTGTACACATCTGGTTTGTGTACAAGTTACATTGTGTACAAGTTGTCTCTACATTAATACGGTAGAATAAATAAAGAGGAACACTCCCATTCTCATGTAACACCATTTTTTAGAAGAAATGATGCTTTGAGTGATGGCAATGGAAATAAGTCACTCTCTGACTTTTTTGTGTATACCTGAATAAACTTACTTTCTTACATACGAAAGGAATAATTTTCTACAGTTACCCCCAGTAACACATTTTCTCTTATGTTGGGCTAGAGAAAACGTTATTCTTGCCATCACTTGTACAAGTTGTCTGGCTCCTACATCTCATATTTATGTTTATTTATTCTATTGTGGGGCAGAGGCGTCGTAAGGGGGGGCGGGCTGCCCCGGGTGACACCATTTAAGGGGTGACACCATAGAGCCTCTAAAGAAGGTGACACTAATGACCAAAACCATGCTGCAGCAACCTAAGAGAAAAATTCTTCGTTTCTATATAGCCTATTATAGGATTACATAGTACAAATAGGCCTATATAGGGAAAATCATTGATTTTGATGATGTGATAGATGATTTTGCAGGATTGGGGCAAGGAAATGAAATATCAGATTCTTTGAGATGCTACCTGTACTCAAGGTCAAATTGGAACTAGTGTTTTTTCTTTATTTTTCAAGTTTTTTTTTTCATTGTTGAAGATGAATAAATGTAGGATCTTTTGGCTGTACTCAAAGTGGTGTTTAAGTTTATATTTCCTTAATATTACAACAATTATTTATTTTATCATTAATAAAGTTCGATTTATGGCCTGGAGTTTACTACCCCTATCCCCCCGCCCTTGGATTTCATGAGGGTGACACCAAAGATGCCACCCCGGGTGACACCAATGATTCCGCCCCTGGTGACACCAACTCTAGTGACGCCTCTGTTGTGGGGTGTATCTATCATCTGTATATGTTATGTATCGTGTTTATTATATAATTTTGAAAAAAATCATGGCTGGATTAATAAAAATGTGTATATTAACGTAATATATGACATTTAATGAGACTCGGTGATTATTATTATTATTATTACTAATATGGCGTCACTTGTGTAAGTCCTCTGGCTCCCACATCTCATATTTATGTTTGTTTATTCTAATGTGGAGTGTATTTATCATCTTTATATGTTATGTATCATGTTTATTATGTAATTTTGAAAAAAATATCATACATGGATTAATGAAAATGTGTATGTTAACGTAATATACGACATTTAATGAGACTCAATGATTATTATTGAGTATTATTATCATTACTAATATGACATCTCGAGACATAAGACATTCTTACTGATTTTAATGTGTACCTGCACGCCAGCACAGTGTGTAACTTTATTTAGGTACAGGTATACATAAGTATAATTATCAGAGTATATATAAAATATGAAGTAACTTTTAAAAACACTTGAAATTTTGGAGTTTCCAGGCACAATGGAGAGACGTGGTGCTTACGGAGCTCATGGAGAATGTAAACAAACAGGGTGGGGCGCAGTGACCGTATTAGAAAATCAGGTGGGGGAGCCGTATAGAGAGTTTAGGTCATAATTTTAAACGGCCGTATTAGCGGAACGCTGTAAAGCGAAACGCCGTAAAGCGGGGCTCTACTGTATATCTTGTGGATAAGTCGACCCTATAAGTCTACCCTATTTCAGTAATGGTGGTGTGTTGTTATGAGACGATTAGTTTGAGGTAGTGTGCTGTTACTGATCCTCAAACACAAATGCTGTCCAAGATAGGGACAGACAGTTTATGTTAAGTGCAGACACTAAGTGAACAGTGTAGTATGGGGAACACAGTAAAAAAAAAAAAAGTGAATGTCATATACTTACCGTCTTTGATATTTACTTTGATACATGATGAGTAGGAGCATTAAATTTCAATTTATTGTCTAAGTAATAACCTAGTAATTAACTTTTTCTTCTCATGGAATAGCTTTTTTTCTAAGATTTATTTACTTGGTAGTTATGCAAATGCTGTACTACTCGATATGTAGTATGTATGATGTGTGTGTGTGCTGGGTTCATTATCCAAGTGAAGATTTTAACTGGCTCATCATTAATCTCCTTTCAATGAGGCTGGCTAGATGCTGAAGGTCTCTTGATCCAAGGAATTGGAGTTACCCTTCCCTTCATTCACTCAAACCTGACTACCTCCTATTTTCTAGGTATGATCCCTATGGGTTTAATACTTTCCTATGAATATAAAATAAAAAATTATTAAATCTTTCAAGGCAGTAGTAGGGTGTATGTTCAGTAAGACAAGAGTGGTGCTCTCAGCAAGGAGTATCAACATTATATGTTGCATAAAATTGGTAGGTCACTGATGTAAAGAAGAAGCAATATTACCTTCAGAAACACTAAAGTTCATTGTTAAAGAAGATTATGGAGTAACATTTATGGTTGTCTGTTAGTGAATATTAGATGAAGTAATATGAGCAGAATGCTGCAGTTGTCTTTTTTTTTTTTGGGGGGGGGGGGGGGGGAGATTCGAAATCATATTGGTAAAGATTAAATATCTTTTGCTTAGTTATGTAAGTTATATAATTTTCTAGTATTGGCCTGTAATTAATGATATTCAATGAATCACCACCTTTGTGGACTGAGGTGGTCCTGGCTCTTTTGAGAAAGTCTGGGAAGGTTTAGTTTTCAAATGGTTTCTTAAGGAGTAGTCTGATGACTTATGATGAAACTTGTGCAGCTTTCTTATTATAATGGGACATCTCAGATTACTTTTAGAATTTCTGCTTCACGAGGTGTGCTCGGTGCTAAGTACGAAGGATCAAGGTGCGGCAACTGTTGCTCAGATAGCTACTTATGTTGTTCTGCGTTCTAGAATATTGTTTGCTACTGGTCTCGTTGAGCAAAAAGCTGGGCAATTTATTCACAGCATTAGCAGCTCAGAGGCTGGTGAATGTGGTGAATGCTGAAACACTTCTTTTTGTCATTTCCTTGGAAACTAGATCTAGTCCACACATCTTTTCACTGTTGTTTCTTGTGGCTTGTATCCCTTCTATGCTTTGCATTTTCTTGATTACCATTTCGTGAAAAACTCTACTGTTGTCTGAGTGTTGTCAAGGTTAATGGAAACTGCCAAGGAATATATAGAAATTTGCTGATCAGATCCAAACTAATTGTTAGAATTTCTTTGCTATCCATGTGTTCTGCAAGAAACACGTCATATGTAATTTCATTTTTCAAAGAATCACACAGTATATTAACAAAGGTCTTCATGATAACAGATTCACTAAGATGTGGTTCCTTCATCACATCTGCCTCCTGGATGGCTGCTTCTGTTGGCTTGGTGTTGAGATCCTAGAAATGTATTTAGATTGGTGTCTGTAGATTAGTAGTTCCTTACACAGTGGTCTTGGCAGCTTCATCTTGTTTATTTAATGGCTCAGTATTGTTCCCAGTTTGGTTATTTGGTTTGCATGGTTAACTACTAGTTCTTATTGGGTTTGTAGTTATTCTGCAATGACAATGCTGCATTGTCTTGTTTTTTGACAGTAGCCAGTTCTTCTTAACTCAGTTAGATCCTCTAAAGAAGGCTCATGTTTTGCTTCAGTATCATATCATGATACTTCTGTCTTCAATCATGTTGCCGGAGTGTTGTAGGTCTATTATGGAGAGCAGTAAAACAATGGTAGCATTTGTTGTGGTCATGTATTTGTAGAAACAAGCACACTTGTTTCTTTTGGGCTTTAAAGTTTATTTAAGTTGCTTTGTGCTGAGTTTCAGATCATTTTATGCTTCCAAGTACACTGCTGGTGCACTCAGGAGTCTGTGGAGACAAAGAACTTTGTCCATGGAAGCAAAGAGAGGAATGTCTGTGAATATAGTTATACCAACACTCTTATATGGGTGTGAAACATGGGTGACGAATGTTGCAATGAGGAGAAGGTTGGAGGCAGTGGAGATGTCATGTCTGAGGGCAATGTGTGGTGTGAAAATAATTCAGAGAACTCGTAGCTTGGAAATTAGGAGGAGGTGCGGGATTACCAAAACTGTTATCCAGAGGGCTGAGGAGGGGTTGTTGAGGTGGGTCAGACATGTAGAGAGAATGGAACAAAACAGAATGACTTCGAGAGTGTATAAATCTGTTGTGGAGGGAAGGTGGGGTAAGGGTCTACCTAGGAAAGGTTGGAGGGAAGGGGTAAAGGAGGTTTTGTGTGCGAGGGGCTTGTACTTCCAGCAAGCATACTGGAAACTGGCAGGCTGGACTTGAGTCCTGGAGATGGGAAGTACAGTGCCTGCACTCTGAAGGAGGGGTGTTAATGTAGCAGTTTCAAACTGTAGTGTAAAGCACCCCTCTGGCAAGACAGTGATGGAGTGAATGATGATGAAAGTTTTTCTTTTACGTGCCACCCTGCCTTGGTAGGAATCAGCCAATGTGTTAATAAAAAATAAAATTATTTGGGCTGGACAACTAGGGCAAATGTGAAGCTCTTAAAAGTGAAACTTTTCCAGGCAACAACAGTAGAAAAAGAATATTTACTAGCTCTTTTACAAAACCAAAAAAAACTTCTATGTACACTATTCCCAATAATCAAGAAAATCAAAGGAAAAAGACAAAACAATCAGTGTCTCACAGAATTTACAGAGTACTGTACTTTGATTCATCAGCCATAAACAACACTGAAAAAGATAAAGGCTGGATCCTGAATAAATGAAAGGATGCTCTGCAACACTAACCAGTCTCATCAGAATGTCTCAGTGAATACTTCAGAGAAACTAACTGAATAAAGTAAGATGAGATCTATAAAATAATGCCTGGAAAACTCTTTCTCAAACTGTATTTATTTACTGGCTAGAATGATTCTGCATTTAAACACAAGAGATCATCTCCTCCACTGGGACAAATGTTACAGCCACAATACTCTTGAGATCCAAGCTTACATTATTACTGTAATTAACTTGCAGGCAACTATCTTAGCTCATTATACAGTAGTTAGCATTAACCATTACTCAGAAATATGTTCCATAATAAAACCACCAATTATAAAGCAGTTAATCAAGTTGAAATACCTACCATCACCAGTCTATATAATATTGTGTTGACATTGCACTCTCTGAAGTCAGTTCATTCTTAAACTCAATAAGCAATTATTATTATTACTATCATCATCATCATTGTCATCACTATATCTATATCAAGCACTAAACCCATGTGGATGGTTCAGAGCAGGTAGTGGTGGAGGCTCGAGTCCCAGTTGTATCTTCAGTAAACCACATGAAAACCCTAAACTTTACCAGCACTTGAAACATAAACCTTCATAGATATTCTCCAGAGAGCCAGTATATATCCCCAGTCTACACACAGAATGCCTTAGGCTCACCATTACACATTACTATCACCAAACCTGCCAATGCATCATTGAACTTGTGTGAACTAGAACCTGGGCCTCAGTGTGGATCCTTACGCAGTGGTGACTTCAGTTACAGCTTTATTGCCTGTGGCAAGGTGGAAACAAGTTCACCTGCTTCCAGTGGGTGGAGGTTAAGCTTGCATGGTTCCTCCTCTTTTATGTACATATATGCACAGTATATACAAACATATTTATGAATTTATCAGTCTATTGCTAGTTATCTTCAAGACAAAATATGCTATATAAACTGGTGGCTCAGTGCTGCCTCAAAGCATTTTTCTGCATCGTCTTGTTGTCTTGGGATGACTTCAAGGGTGGCATCGGTCAGGTCATCCCCACTCAAGTGTCGCACAGCTGTTCCAATCATATTACTCACTACTTCTACTAATCCAGCACCACTTGCCACAATAACTTCCCCATCATCACTTCCACTTCTGTCATCAGTTGCTTTGCCATCAACTTCATCATCCTGCAAAAAAGAGAACAACACATTACTATGTTAGCCATTTCCATTCTGGATTAACCCTTGTTATAATCAAATAGTATTGTGCACTCTCTCTTATCGTATCTGAGAACGATGTGTGTGAAAAATGTAAACCTTAGATCTCTTAAAACAACTAAGGGATAATATACAAATAACCCACGCACGGGAGACTGAAACTTATGGCGATGTTTCGGTCTGACTTATATCATTAACTAGTTGATGGTCCAAGTCAGACTCTGTTATTAAATATTATTTTGTTATTTTAGTGTGAGACTGAAAACTTTAAGGGTCATTCAGCTTTACATGGCAGAGATGAAACAAAACATGAGGAAGAAGAGATGGAGGTACATGGCAGAGATGAAACATTATAGATGAATGGTTCAAAGAACCGACACGTTGATAAACTAGACACGTGCAACTCTTGGGTATCTTTATTGAGGAAATGTTTTGCCACACAGTGGCTTCATCAGCCCATACAAAGGAGAAACGTGAAGAACAGGAGGAGAATGAGGTAATCAGTTCTCTGAACCATTCATCTACAATCCTGTCAGACACTGCAACTTCTTGGCATTTTAATACAGTGGACCCTCGCCTAACAAACGTATCGCATAACGTTAAATCCGCCTAGCAATACATTTTAACGCAAAAATTTTGCCTCGACTTGCGCTAAAAAACTCGCTCAACGCGGTTCGTTCGAGACGCGTCCACGTGTAGCCTGAGCCCGCCTCACTTGTTCCATGGGTGCCAGTGTTTACAAGCCAGCCACCGCGGTCGCATCCAAGCATACAATCGGAACATTTCACATTATCACAGCGTTTTTAGTGATTGCACCTGCAAAATAAGTCACCATGGGCCACATGAAAGCTTCTAGTGCCAACCCTACAGCAAAAAGGGTGAGAATTACTGTGGATATGAAGAAAGAGATCATTGCTAAGTATGAAAGTGGAGTGCATGTCTCCGAGCTGGCCAGGTTGTACACAAAACCCCAATCAACCATCGCTACTATTGTGGCCAAGAAAACGGCAATCAAGGAAGCTGTTCTTGCCAAAGGTGCAACTTTGTTTTCGAAACAGAGATCGCAAGTGATAGAAGATGTTGAGAGACTGTTATTGGTGTGGATAAACGAAAAACAGATAGCAGGAGATAGCATCTCTCAAGCGATCATATGTGAAAAGACTAGGAAGTTGCATGACGATTTAATTAGAAAAATGCCTGCAACTAGTGGTGATGTGAGTGAATTTAAGATCCACTGCAATTCATTGATTTTCATGGTTACCGATTAAGTGCAATAAGTAACCATGGCCCCAAAGAAAGTTTCTAGTGCAGTTCTTTTGGTAAAGAAAGTGAGAAACACAATGGAATTTAAGAAAGAAGTTGTGCAACATCTGGATATCTTTATTGTAGACGTTTCGCCATCCAGTGGCTTTATCAATACAGATTCTAGGACATAATAGGAAGACAGTAGAACTATATACAAAAGATGAGGTAATCAGTCCCTCGGCCTTGGAGTTAGTGTTCACAGCATCGTGGTGGAGGAGAGTCTGGAGCAAAGGCAAGAAGACTGGCGTTTTTATAGGCGTCAGTGGAAGGGACGGGCAGCAGACGAGGGCAGTCACTGGTAGGCGGGATTCCCCAGTGGAAGTAGGTCCTTCCCAAAGAGATGGGTTAGTTGCAGCAGCCGTGAAGAAGGTCTTGTAGATGTCCTCTGAACCAAGATTCCATGATGTTGCAGTGTCTGACAAGTTGTGCAAGAAAGGTATAAAATACCGACAATATGAAAGTTAAGACACATGTGCAACATCTGGATATCTTTATTGTAGACGTTTCGCCATCCAGTGGCTTTATCAATACAGATTCTAGGACATAATAGGAAGACAGTAGAACTATATACAAAAGATGAGGTAATCAGTCCCTCGGCCTTGGAGTTAGTGTTCACAGCATCGTGGTGGAGGAGAGTCTGGAGCAAAGGCAAGAAGACTGGCGTTTTTATAGGCGTCAGTGGAAGGGACGGGCAGCAGACGAGGGCAGTCACTGGTAGGCGGGATTCCCCAGTGGAAGTAGGTCCTTCCCAAAGAGATGGGTTAGTTGCAGCAGCCGTGAAGAAGGTCTTGTAGATGTCCTCTGAACCAAGATTCCATGATGTTGCAGTGTCTGACAAGTTGTGCAAGAAAGGTATAAAATACCGACAATATGAAAGTTAAGACACATGTGCAACATCTGGATATCTTTATTGTAGACGTTTCGCCATCCAGTGGCTTTATCAATACAGATTCTAGGACATAATAGGAAGACAGTAGAACTATATACAAAAGATGAGGTAATCAGTCCCTCGGCCTTGGAGTTAATGTTCACAGCATCGTGGTGGAGGAGAGTCTGGAGCAAAGGCAAGAAGACTGGCGTTTTTATAGGCGTCCGTGGAAGGGACGGGCAGCAGACGAGGGCAGTCACTGGTAGGCGGGATTCCCCAGTGGAAGTAGGTCCTTCCCAAAGAGATGGGTTAGTTGCAGCAGCCGTGAAGAAGGTCTTGTAGATGTCCTCTGAACCAAGATTCCATGATGTTGCAGTGTCTGACAAGTTGTGCAAGAAAGGTATAAAATACCGACAATATGAAAGTTAAGACAATGTGCAACATTGGATATCTTTATTGTAGAGTTTCGCCACGTGGCTTTATCAATAAGATTCTAGGACATAATAGAAGACAGTAGAACTATATACAAAAGATGAGGTAATCAGTCCCTCGGCCTTGGAGTTAGTGTTCACAGCATCGTGGTGGAGGAGAGTCTGGAGCAAAGGCAAGAAGACTGGCGTTTTTATAGGCGTCAGTGGAGGGACGGGCAGCAGACGAGGGCAGTCACTGGTAGGCAGGATTCCCCAGTGGAAGTAGGTCCTTCCCAAAGAGATGGGTTAGTTGCAGCAGCCGTGAAGAAGGTCTTGTAGATGTCCTCTGAACCAAGATTCCATGATGTTGCAGTGTCTGACAAGTTGTGCAAGAAAGGTATACCAGTGACTGCCCTCGTCTGCTGCCCGTCCCTTCCACTGACGCCTATAAAAATGCCAGTCTTCTTGCCTTTGCTCCAGACTCTCCTCCACCACGATGCTGTGAACACTAACTCCAAGGCCGAGGGACTGATTACCTCATCTTTTGTATATAGTTCTACTGTCTTCCTATTATGTCCTAGAATCTGTATTGATAAAGCCACTGGATGGCGAAACGTCTACAATAAAGATATCCAGATGTTGCACATGTGTCTTAACTTTCATATTGTCGGTATTTTATACCTTTCTTGCACAACTTGTCAGACACTGCAACATCATGGAATCTTGGTTCAGAGGACATCTACAAGACCTTCTTCACGGCTGCTGCAACTAACCCATCTCTTTGGGAAGGACCTACTTCCACTGGGGAATCCCGCCTACCAGTGACTGCCCTCGTCTGCTGCCCGTCCCTTCCACTGACGCCTATAAAAACGCCAGTCTTCTTGCCTTTGCTCCAGACTCTCCTCCACCACGATGCTGTGAACACTAACTCCAAGGCCGAGGGACTGATTACCTCATCTTTTGTATATAGTTCTACTGTCTTCCTATTATGTCCTAGAATCTGTATTGATAAAGCCACTGGATGGCGAAACGTCTACAATAAAGATATCCAGATGTTGCACATGTGTCTTAACTTTCATATTGTCGGTATTTTATACCTTTCTTGCACAACTTGTCAGACACTGCAACATCATGGAATCTTGGTTCAGAGGACATCTACAAGACCTTCTTCACGGTGCTGCACTAACCATCTCTTTGGGAAGGACCTACTTCCACTGGGGAATCCCGCCTACCAGTGACTGCCCTCGTCTGCTGCCCGTCCCTTCCACTGACGCCTATAAAAACGCCAGTCTTCTTGCCTTTGCTCCAGACTCTCCTCCACCACGATGCTGTGAACACTAACTCCAAGGCCGAGGGACTGATTACCTCATCTTTTGTATATAGTTCTACTGTCTTCCTATTATGTCCTAGAATCTGTATTGATAAAGCCACTGGATGGCGAAACGTCTACAATAAAGATATCCAGATGTTGCACATGTGTCTTAACTTTCATATTGTCGGTATTTTATACCTTTCTTGCACAACTTGTCAGACACTGCAACATCATGGAATCTTGGTTCAGAGGACATCTACAAGACCTTCTTCACGGCTGCTGCAACTAACCCATCTCTTTGGGAAGGACCTACTTCCACTGGGGAATCCCGCCTACCAGTGACTGCCCTCGTCTGCTGCCCGTCCCTTCCACTGACGCCTATAAAAACGCCAGTCTTCTTGCCTTTGCTCCAGACTCTCCTCCACCACGATGCTGTGAACACTAACTCCAAGGCCGAGGGACTGATTACCTCATCTTTTGTATATAGTTCTACTGTCTTCCTATTATGTCCTAGAATCTGTATTGATAAAGCCACTGGATGGCGAAACGTCTACAATAAAGATATCCAGATGTTGCACATGTGTCTTAACTTTCATATTGTCGGTATTTTATACCTTTCTTGCACAAGAAAGAAGTTGTTGAAAAGTATGAGAGTGGTGTTTGAGTGCTAGAACTTGCCAGGATGTGTGAGAAAAACAAATCAACAATCACTTCTATCCTGGCAAAGAAAGAGCAAATCTAGGAAGCTGATGTGGAGAAAGGAGTAAATGTGCTAACCAAACAAAGGTCACCAATAATGGAAGATATGTAGAAGATGTTGGTTTTGTGGCTCACCGAAAAACAGTTAGCGAGAGATAGTACTGTGGAGTCGATGATTTGTGAGAAGGCAAGGCAGTTGCATGAGGATCTTGTAGAGAAAATGCCTGGAACAAGTGCTGCTGTTAGTGAATTTAGGGCCAGCAAAGGTTGGCTTGAGAGATTTAAGAAGCATAGTGGCATACACAGTGTGGTAAGGCATAGGGAGGCTGCAAGTGCTGACAAATGTGTGGGTGAAAAATTTGTGCAAGAATTCAAG